ATTATAATAATTTATAATAATTATAATTATATAATATATAATATAATTATAATTACTATAATAATTATAATCATTTGTTATTGAGATATTTTGGCAAACAATATATATCTGTACTATTAAAACGTCTTTAATAATAATTGCATAAAAATTAAGTATGTATGTTAACATCTCACAAGAAAAGAATACGACAGAAATATTAAGACAATGTATGATATGAATGTAAAGAAAAACAAATTCATTTTCTATCGATAGAATATTTACATTCGTAATAAAAGGATCGAAATCAATATTTACTTTCTTGAATGGCATGCCAATATTACATAGCATTCTCGATAGGTAATTGAAGCTGATTGATTTACACAACATATAGAGAACACACGGATTACTCCATAGTCGTCTGTATCGTATAATGCGTATTGCGGATTAATACAATGTGCGTAATGACTTAATCGATTCAAGCCTAATCCGATCATGAAATTAGCATTATGTATGTCTGTCGTATAACCAACAATTTCCGATATAATTTATAGCTGAAAAAAATGTAAGGCTGTAAGATTTTAATACAACTGAAAGAACAAATATTTAAATACGAAATACTTTCTATATTCTTATATCATAGTCAGGAGATATATAGATAAAATAATGTTAATAAAAGTATCAATTTATATCTTACGTTCTTTTTATTTTAAAAGCATTATGCGATAAATTTATGGATTAATTTTATGATAAAATTATGGATTAATTTTATGATTGCATGTTAGGAATTTGATGACACCATGCTAGGAAATAGTGAATAATTCTCGGAACATATACCGTTCTTCGTTTGCATCCGGGTCATTAAGAATCACTGCTGGCATCGCGCACTCGATAAAGAAGAAATTCGAGCAGTAAGAAATTTGAAACGAAACTATCCTCTTTGCGTGTCGCATGTGTTCTCGAGGGTGCATTTTTGGGGGCACCGAAATAAATTTAATGACAAGACTCAAGGGTACAGTAGCAAACTGTATGGGTCACAAAGTGGGCGTATTGTCCTACGATGATGCACGATTCACGCATCACTATGTCTTTAAGTTCACCGTTCATTGTCGAGGACCCCCATACGATAAGCCGTTTAATCGCAAGAATAGAGCCAATCAAAGCTATGTCGCTCATTTAAGTTGCTCTCGTGATTCGATATACAAGTTCCACGCTAATAATCGTTTAATGAATATTTTTCTTACATTATTACAAGCATGGTTTTTTTGTTAATTTTTCAAGTTTGGCCCGAGTATTTTTAATTATTTCAAAACGTAGATAAACAAGATACGGATGTGTAATAGCATAAAAATTCAAATAATATTCAAATAACTATTCAAATAAAAATTCAAATAACTATTTTTATCGAGAAAAATCGCGCTACAATAAATTTTGTAGAAAAAAAATCTAGAATCGTGTCGATATTATCGAAATACAAGAAATGTGCGCTAGATTGAGATGCATATATATATATACGTGTTATCCACACATCTCGGCGGAATTATTCGAAACTTTATTCGTCAAAAAAATAATTTGACCACGCATAATGAGGACCAAAACAGTCATAATATTATTATATTAACATTTTGGCATCATGCATCTATTAGGTATAAAACAGATGGAATGACTTCAGCAGACTCCAGTTGTGGCGTTAATTGCTGATCAAAGAGATTGTGCAACGGTTGTTCTTCATCTGCGCTCCCTGACCGATTCATCCGTCTAACTATATTCGATCCAATCTTCGACCGATTTTACGTTACGCTGAACAAAGTGCTTGCCACACGGTCAAACGATATTCCAGCTGCTATCAGAATTGTACATCCTCTTCTCGTGGATTTCTAACTTACTCGCAGAGTTCAAAAAGCACATAAAACTATCGTCGAAATTATCATTACTAATTATTGTTTTGTCTCTTTTCGCGTAGCCAACTATTCGAGTCCTGGCATTTCTGATATTTTACACAATTAAAAAAAAAGGTCAATTATGATATTTGCTACATTTTTATTAGTATGCGAATGTAATCTTGTTTTCTTCGGAAAATGTGGAAGACATTTTCCTTTGAATTTATTTTAATTCAATATACGAGATAAATTTTGACATTGATGAATAACTTGTATAATCGTGATGAAAGTTGAGATGATTTTGTTAACGGCGTATGCACGAGTCAGATCGTATCGATATGATGGCGCGTAACGGTGAATTTTGAGATATCGAATATTTGACATTCGAAACTGCTGTACCCGTCATGAGCAGGAGACCGTGATGCCGAGAATGGAATTTTAAACTTTGATTTGCGTTTTTTTGTAATTGACAATCTTGAATACGCAATTCCATTTCTTTTTACAGATAGAGCTCGAAAATGACAGAGAATCGTTATTAATTTCATTTCATTAATTTTAACTAACATTTATATAAATGTAGCAACTAAAGTTCGCAGGATTTGATTCGATCTTGTCATCTTCAGCGAGCGTAAGCCTGATAACAAACAGGCAAACGAAATACAACGAAACGTCGCGAACAAGCCAATAAAAGAAGCTATAAGAGACAGAGATCAATAATTAGTAATGATAATTTCGAATAGATCTTCAATTTTTTGTATTCTGCGAGTGAGCTGGAAATCCACGAGAAGAGGTTGCATAGTTCTGACAGCAGTAACGATAAAAAGGAAGACAAGGGAATTAAGATAATATTCAGATGAAACGATGCGAAACCGTAATTACGCTGTCACCATCGATGACGATGGTGTTGCACTGAAAGAATGCAATAATACTGTGATGTGGTCGTTGGTACAATGCAATAATGACGTTCTCAGAGAGAATGTCCTTACTGTGCTCCGTATTCTGGAGAACTTCTCCTCTTCAGCCATTTATCCGCCGTCGAGTATATCGCGTCGTCGAGGTAAACCAGAGAAACCGAAGTGAGGGAAATTCAGAAGTGTGACGAGGACCATCCCTACCTCGAACGCCATTATTGCGAGTATACCAGCTTGTACCACAGTCGATGGTAGTGGTCGACCGGGTACATGGGACGGGAAATCTAGAGGAGCTGGAGATATGGCCGTGACCGCGTGGAATGCCTGGAATGTAGCCCGTCACGCTGCACCGGCGCAAAGCCACGTCGCGATCCATCGCCTTTTCGGTCCTCTTTCGAATGTGTCTCTCATCTTTTTGCCAAAAAGACCACCAGCGCAGACAGAGAATCAAGGTGAACTAAGACGGAATAACCAATTCTCAAAAAAATCGCAATTTTTTTTTTTTTTTTTTTTATTTTTTGTCAATTTTCTGTTGTGA